GGGTAGCATTGGGCGAGGGCTGCGCGAGGGGGAAGGGGAACTCTGGGCTGCACCGGGGACTCCAGCAGTGGCACCCCTCGCCAAGTTCGGTCACCGCTGCGCGCACTAGTGAGTGACCACGCCCCCTTTCTCTTTCCCCCTCCCCCGTGCTGCTGGGCCACAGCCCAGAGTCCCAGGGAGTGATCAGCGGCGCCGTTTTCCTGATCATTCTCTTCTGCTTCATCCCTTTCCCCTTCCTGAGCTGCTTTGTAGAGGAGCAGTGCGAAGCCTTCCCCCACCACGAAGTAAGTGGGTTAGTGGAGGCGGGGCTGCGGGCTGAGCGTTGGGATTATTCGGGTTTGGGGAGGGGGGCTAAGGCACTTGGGAAAAGAGGAATTCTTGAAAGGAATGGTGAAGTGGGAGTAGGGTTGAGCCGTGACTTGCCCGAGCCTCCCCCAGTTTGTGGCCCTGATAGGTGCGCTTCTTGCCATCTGCTGCATGATTTTCCTGGGCTTTGCGGATGATGTCCTGAATCTGCGCTGGCGCCATAAGCTGCTGCTGCCCACAGCGGCCTCACTACCTCTCCTCATGGTCTATTTCACCAACTTTGGCAACACGACCATTGTGGTACCCAAGCCCTTTCGTCCGATTTTTGGCCTGCATTTGGACTTGGGTGAGTAGCCCCTCTACTACCGCCCGTATGTCCTCTACTTCAGGGCACCCTTACTCCATAAGATATCCAACAGCATCCTCCCTGGTGCTCCGCATTCTCCTAGTGTTCCTGCTTTGTCGCTGTGTTTTCTCAGATCCTTTCTGTTGGCCCTTCATCCTACCCTTTGTACTCATCATTTCTTTCAGAAGAATATCCTTAAATCCTCATTCTGTACTCGGTGCTACTTCTTTTCTTATTGTCCTCTCCCCCCAGGAATCCTGTACTATGTCTACATGGGGCTGTTGGCAGTGTTCTGTACCAATGCCATCAATATCCTAGCAGGAATTAATGGCCTAGAGGCTGGCCAGTCCCTAGTCATTTCTGCTTCCATCATCATCTTCAACCTGGTCGAGCTGAAAGGTAGGTGGGATTGGGGGTAGGGAGAGAGAAGTCTGAGTCTTAAGGAAGTTAGTTGCCTGATATCTGGCTTTGGGGAATTCAGGAAAAAAGCAGTATGTTAATAATTATAGAAGATTCAAGTTCTGACCCGGTCTCTCAGTGGGTTAGAGCATTGTCCCAATACACCAGGGTTGTGGGTTCGTTCTCTGGTCAGGGCACATACAAGAATGCATAAATAAGTGGAACAACAAATCAGTGTTTCTCTCTCAAATCAATAAAAATAAATAAATAACTATAGATGATAAGGGAAGGTATTTACTATGCAAATAACAATTAAGATTTATTAAATGTAAGAAAAATAGCAGCATTGTCATTTATAGCTAGATTGGCACTAATAGGTAGGCCATGGTCTTCTCTTATTGAACATAAACAATTTCATAGAACCCCCAAATCACTCTGTGACCATGACAGAGTAAGACAAAGGCCAGACCCCTCCATAACTATGTCTGAGCATAGACAAGAACACTGTGAATCTCACAAAAATGACCAAGATCCCCCTCTTCTGGCTAACATGAGTGATTGCTGCTTACTTCTAAGTCAGTTCCTCCTACTTCATAGATAAAAACTAAGATTCTCATAGAATTACTCCTGTTGACAGCACCGAGACCAGGGCAAAACTCTGCTTCCTTGCATCTTCCTCAGAATTACTTAAAATCCTATAACAAATCCTCCTAACATCCCCTTACTGAGGTATCCCATGGTTCCCCATGGGATGTGGTTTCCAAAAGACTCCCTTGTTACAAGTCAGTAAATCCATCTTTGATTACAAGTTTGTTTCTGGTGGTATTTGGCCAATGAACATCAATAAGTGTTTGTTAAAGCTAAGCACTTTTTTGCCCTGGCCAGTGTGCTCCAGTGGTTAAAGAGTGTTGGTCCTCAAACCAAAGGGTCGTGGGCAGGATCGATTCCGGGTCAAGGGCACGTACCTGGGTTGCAGGTTTGATCCCAGTGTATGTGAGAGGCAATCAATTGATGTGTCTCTCTCACATCAATGTTTCTCTCTCCCACTCTCTGAAAAGCAATGGATAAAATATCCTCAGGTGAGGGTTAAAATTTTTTTTAAACTAAGCACTTTTAAAATATCTCATTTAAACTTTGTAACAGCTCTAGGCTTAGAGAAGTTAAATTTTCATGACCAAGGTTACACAGTTAGGAAGTAAAGCTCATAGTCAAACCTAGGTCTGAAACAATTTAAGACAATAAGTTTAGAAAGGGTTCATGAAAGAGCTGGAGTGTTGAGAATTGCCTGGATGACGTAAAAGGGGTAGTAAGGGTTTTTTAAAAATATATATATCTTTATTGATCTCAGAGAGAAGAAAGGAGAGGGAGAGAGAGAGATGGAAACATCAATGATGAGAGAGTCATTGATCGGCTGCCTCCTGCACGCCCCTGACTGGGGATCAAGCCTGCAACCCTGGCATGTGCCCTGACCGGGAATCAAACGCGGATCGCCTGGATCCTAGGTCGACACTCAACCGCTGAGCCACACCCGACCGGGCAGGGTAGTGAGTTCTTGAATGTGACTTGTGAGAGGTGGACAATAAAGCTTGGGACATAACTTAGAAGCAGGCGAAAACAGTATACAGAGGAGTCGCTATCACTTTTTCCTTCTTTCTTTTTCCCCTGCTTCCAAAGGTGACTGTAGAGATGATCATGTCTTTTCCCTCTACTTCATGATACCCTTTTTTTTCACCACCTTGGGATTGCTCTATCATAACTGGTAAGTAGGCCTGTAGATGGAGGGACAACTGTTTTAACATGTAGCAAGTGTGGTCCTGATCATGACCTACCTCCTGATGGAGAGGCTAAACTTGTGCATACCTGTATTGAATATTTTCTGGGTCTTCAATTGGTAGTGTTCATAAATTGCTCTGTACTCAGCAGTGGTTGGGGACAAGTGCTGTGAAGCTCCTGGAATAGATGAATTCAGGGCCTTGGGTCTGGAGAGTTGCTGAGAGAGCTGGATGGAGTCTTTGAGTCAGAACTAGGGTCAGTTCTAGCCCAGTGCCCAGGGTGTGTGATATGAGAGAAAAGATTGATAATGCCTCTTGCCACTGGCTCAGATCCTCTCCCCCACACAGGTACCCATCACGGGTGTTTGTGGGAGATACCTTCTGTTACTTTGCTGGCATGACCTTTGCCGTGGTGGGCATCTTGGGACACTTCAGCAAGACCATGCTACTCTTCTTCATGCCCCAGGTGTTCAACTTTCTCTACTCACTGCCTCAGCTCCTGCATATCATCCCCTGCCCTCGCCACCGTGTGCCCAGGTAGTTGCTTTGGGGCTTGGAAGGGACATCATAGCTTTATTGCTTGGGAGCAAATGTATAAAGCCAGCCTTATACATATGCTGTGCAAAGGGAGTGGCCCCAAAGGTGGGCTGACTGTTTCCATGTGGTTAGCATTTTATAAATTATAGAGCACATTTACTTACATAATCTCATGTAATGTTCCCTGTAGCTCTGATCACAGTAGTAAGTAACAGAGCCAGAAATGGATAAGTTGTTTGACTCCACATTCAGTGCTCTTCCTATTAAATAACCACACTTTAAGTAGTGCCCCAGTTACATAAAGCTCTCTTCCCCCTGCAGACTTAATACCAACACAGGCAAACTGGAGATGAGCTATTCCAAGTTCAAGACCAATAGCCTCTCTTTCTTGGGCACCTTTATTCTAAAGGTAACAGGGGCCCTGACTGGTGTGGCTCAGTTGGTTGAGTGCCGTCCTGTGTACCAAAGGGTCGCCAGTTTGATTCCCAGTCAGGTGCCCAGGTTGTGGGCTTGATCCCCAGTCAGGGTGTGTGTGGGAGGCAGCTGATGGAAGTTTCTTACATTTATGTCCCCTCCCCCCCTCCCTTCCTCTCTCTCTAAAACCAGTTTTTAAAAAAACACATATTGTAACAGGAACAAGGATTTAAGGCTTTAGGCCATCATCCTGAATTCAGGGAATGAGGAACCTAGGCCTACATTAGATCCAAGGGGAGTTTGGGAGCATTAAGCAGGTCCCCATTTAATAAGCGTAAGTATTAGCTGAAGTTCTCTCCACCCCTGGCCTTTCCAGGTAGCAGAGAGTCTCCAGCTAGTGACAGTGCGCCAGTGTGAGAATGAGGATGGTGCCTTCACCGAGTGTAACAACATGACCCTTATCAACTTGCTACTTAAAGTCTTTGGGCCCATGCATGAGAGAAACCTCACGCTGCTCCTGCTGCTGCTACAGGTGTGGTTGGGGATGGGGTTTACACCTCCTTGTCTCCCTTTTTCCATGGTTTTTACTGTAGTCCATTTTTCCTTGCAGATCCTGGGCAGTGCTCTCACCTTCTCCATTCGATACCAGCTTGTCCGACTCTTCTATGATGTCTGAGTTCCCTGATCATTGCCCTTTACTTCACAGTCCCCAGGGTTCCTGACTCAGGCCAACCTCGTTCTAGACCAAGATTGCCTCTCAGCCAGGCCCCTCCCACCCTTCATTCTCCTTAGCATTTCCTTCCCCTGTGATTATTGACATAATGGGTCTTTCTTGCCCTCCAATGACTATTGACTGGACTTTGCCTGTAGTTTTCTTCAACTTGCCACTCTCCCAATCCATCTTGTCTTTGCAGCCCCCTAAGGTGGGAAACTGCAGCTGTTATGTTTTCCACAACTCTTTCAAGGAATATGTTGGGCCTGTGAATAGAACCCTGGCTGGTGATAGGGACACAGGCTTGAAGATGACTTCACATTAGACTATAAATTAAGGATTCTAATTAGTAAAAGGAGATGGGACTGTGGGGATTGGGGACACAGGTGCTCCCAGTGGTAACAATAAAATGTCTTTTTCTTGTTCCTGTAGGTGTGTTTCCGATATGGGCATTTTAGGGTAAATTGGGAGGGTTGGTGGAGGCACTTCCTCCAAGAAGGTGCCTCTCTCTGCCCCATCCTTTACACCCCAGTACACCAGGCCCCTTCTAGCAACATTGTGAGCAGAAAAAACAGACCAGACAGAACACGTTGAATAAATACTGAAACCGTGATATGTCAGGTGGCATGAAGGGCCATGGATTGGAGCTGTCTGCTCTCGGGTATGGGATCGGAACTTGCACGGCCTCTCGTTTCTTTCCTTTTTCACTCTCCCTTTGTTGGATAGGAGGGAGGAGGAAGTGACAGCTGGAAGGCGTGGCAGAGGTACTTACAGTGCTCATCCTTTTCCTGTAAAAACCCCAGGCCCCACACTTTTCCCAAGGGCTCTGGAGGTGGCTTTAGACTCCACCCTCTCTGTCTTCCGGTTTTGGTCTCCCGCTGTGGCGTTTAAATCTCGCGCGCTTTCCGCGGATTGGCTACGCGAGGCAGTAGTTGGCCGTGAGCAGCCACTGCTCCTCGCCATTTTCCCCGGGCAAAAGGTTTTCAAATTCGACCAATCGGCTGTCGCGCTCCTTCAGCTGAGACGCGTCACCGAAGGCTAAACTGCTACCAATCAGAGGCGCCTTTACCGAAAAGAGCCAATCAGGGGGGCGCAGAGGTGTGCCCTGGAGGCTTATAAGGACGGCCCCTGGGCGTTCGCGGCAGTAGTTGGACTGCGGCGGACGGCTGAGTGTCGGCCTCTCCTCGCTGCTTCTCACCGCTCGTCTACCTCACGCAGAATGTCCGGCCGCGGCAAGACTGGAGGCAAGGCCCGCGCCAAAGCCAAGTCGCGCTCGTCGCGCGCCGGCCTCCAGTTCCCAGTGGGCCGCGTTCACCGGCTGCTGCGGAAGGGCCACTACGCCGAGAGGGTGGGCGCCGGCGCGCCCGTGTACCTGGCGGCCGTGCTGGAGTACCTGACGGCCGAGATCCTGGAGCTGGCGGGCAACGCGGCCCGCGACAACAAGAAGACGCGCATCATCCCGCGCCACCTGCAGCTGGCCATCCGCAACGACGAGGAGCTCAACAAGCTGCTGGGCAAGGTCACNGGCGTGACGATCGCGCAGGGAGGCGTCCTGCCCAACATCCAGGCCGTGCTGCTGCCCAAGAAGACCAGTGCCTCCGTGGGCCCGAAGGCGCCCGCGGGCGGCAAGAAGGCCAGCCAGGCCTCTCAGGAGTACTGAGGGCGCTGCGCCCGGCAGCCCGGCCCTCCCCGTGCCACCACAAAGGCCCTTTTAAGGGCCACCACAGCCCTCACGGAAAGAGCTGAGCCACGGAGGTCGGCTGCCCCCTC